TTTTAGAATGTCCCCACACCGATCGATAACATTTGCTACTTTTAGAACGGCCCATGCTCATTTCACATGGATGATCGACGATCGTGTGTCCGGGGCGCCGGGCCAGTTTTGATTAGGCGCTACGGGTGCTGCGGTTGAAAATTGGGAAAAAATGAAATTCGACTTTTCAAAAATTCAAAATTCGTCATTTGAAAATTGAATTCGCCAGAATGACGATTTGATGTCGTTTTTCTTTGTCACCATGGGTTCCGTTTTCGTCAATGACGAGAGTGACGAGCGGCAGCGGGAACCCTGTATAACATATTATATATTGACTACTACTACTATTCTATCAAGCTATAACTCTTTGTGCACCAGTTGGGGTGGCTTCGAGTCTCTTCCTGCAAGTGGTTTCTCCCCCCCTTTGCTCCACTGTCTGCCCCTCCAAGGTCCGAGCTCCTGCGGAGCCAACTGCAGGCAGCTATCACAAAGCGAGGTCACATAGTATTCAAAACAATCTCTTCTTGCCTAAGGCCTAAGACATAACAGACCCAATATGCCTCCCCTCCTGGGCCTACTAATGTCCAATTTTACTTCCACAACAGCAACAACAAGGTTTTGACCAACTTGAAGTACCAGCTGACTGGTGAGGTTTCCATCCAGTTTACATTGAAACTGCATTTGGCCCAGTTTTAAAGCAGTGGTTGTCCAACAGTAGTGTCCCCTCTGTTTCTTCTCAGTCAAACCTTCAGCCCCCACCACACCTGTGCCCATGCCTCCCACGCTTCCTCCCGACGACAGCGGCAGCCTCCCTCCTGAACTTCCCAAAGACCTGCTTGCTGCATTTGTGGCTGCATTGATTGTTTTGGGTCTGGCTGGCTGCTGCGGCCTAGCAGTAGCTTTTGGGTGAGTAACTTATTGGGCAAGATACTCATGGGGAAACAAGACACTGATACTGGCACTTTCATCCCGGAGTGAGCAGCAAACAGCGTGTAGGATTCTGCAGGACCCCTCCTATGCTCTGTTCCCAGAGCTTGAGTGGCTCCCCTCAGGATGACAGCTCCGCTGTTCCGGCTGCAGGACACAGAGGAGGAGAGCGACCTTTGTTCCCAGGGCCGTTCAACTCCTCAATTCAGACTTCTCTTCCCCCCCCCCGCCTCCCTGCACTGGAAGCCGTCATTCATTCTGCACTTGAGCCCCCCCATGACCACTAACAATACCTCCCTTTACATATTTATCAGTTCTTATCTACCTGATCTTTCAAGTACTGTTGCACTTTATGTCATTGTGTCCTTGTTCAACTGCCCTGTGTGCCTTTAATTGCCCCTTGGGGACAAATACAGTTATTTTGAATTGAATTTGAATTGAGTATAATTCTTTTAAAAGTTGCATGCTGACATCTCTTTTCAGAAGATCTTTGATTTACAAAACTTTTGACTTCCACAATCAAGAGCACAAAATATTCTGTCTGTGAATAACTGGGAGGATGAAAGACATTGTCCAAACCTTTATTATGACCTCCCATGAACACATCACCAATGATGAAGACCATTTTATGGCATTACATTCTGGCATTAAACTTCATTATAAAAACGGCTCCCCCACTGAATACAGCAGTTGCTGGTAGCATAAAACTAGTTATAAAAACTGGTACCTGTCACGTCCCGCTCCGTCCGCTCCCGATGTGTGCCACGCCCCCTCATTATCCACGTGTGCTTTCCCGATTGTGCCCAGCTGTTTCCTGTTTCGTTTGCCTAGTCTTGTGCATTTAGTCCGTGTCTCAGTCGATGTACCCCAGACTTGTCATTGTATTGTCCGTCGATGTCCGTACCTGTCCGTCCGCCTGCAATTAAACCCAGTTTCCCTGACTTCCTGGCTCCGATCGCCTATTTCCCTGCTCGCCCGAGCCCGAACGTGACAGTACCAAACTGAACAATATAGGTTATCAGTTTCTGGCAGGATAAATCTACATGTAATAAACTGCCACCCCCATTAAAAGTATAAAATGGTTATTCTGATGGCATATAAGTCTGTATACAAATGTCCATTCAAAAGTATGGGTAGGATAATTTGGCAAAGCAGCATTTTGGTCATTAAAATGCAGTGCTGCCCATTTTGGTCAGCTGGCTGGAGTGAGATTTTCAATTCGAGGCAAATCTACTGTACACACACGTGCACATGCATTTCCATATATGTACAGTTAAACCTCCATTATCCGGACCTCCAATACATGGGCACCTCCCTCTACCAGGCAGCTGAAGGCACGCACATGTGCAAATTAATTTTACACAACCAGCAGATGTTGTTACGAGCATAGGTTATGTGCCCCAGTCTAGGGTTGGGGCGTAACAGAGTGAAAGGGAAAGGGGACATGGAGTAAGGGAAGGACAGGGTGCAATGGACAAGGGAACACACGTGGACAAAAGGGTATTTTTTAAATATATTTTTCTGTTTTTATTGACACACCACAGACACAGAACAAATAAACCCGGTGCAAAAGGACTCTGTAGTGACTATAGCGAAAATAAACAAAACCCAGCTTCCGAACGCAACCCAAAGCTATCTTACTGAAGTGCAGAGAAAACAAAAACACAACGACAAATTCTACACCTTACTATCCAAACATTCCGACTAGACATAGTCGGGCTCACCTCGACGCACGGCTTGGACTCTGGAACCAGTCTCCTTGAAGGGGGTTGGACCCTCTTCCACTCTG